GCTAGTAGGTTAACTCTTCTATTCCAGGCATTGGGCTAAGTGTTTTACATTATCTGATCCCCCCACTCCCACTATATGAGATAGGAGCTTTTCTTATTCCCATTTACATATGGGAATGATGAAGCACAGAGAAGTTAAGGAACTTGCCCAAAGTTGCACAACTAGAAAGCGGCAAAGTCAGACTTTAAAAGCTAGTACTTATCCTCCTAACCACCAGACTCTCTTGCTTGTAGACTCCTACCTCTTTGAAATAAAGGACTGCCCTCCTACGGAGGCAATCCCACCACAGAGCTGAAATGGAAAGAAGAATCTATAGTCCTTCATACCCTCCCTGTCTCTAATTTTCCTGTCTCCCTGCAAGGTAGCAAAGACAACACTTAATGCATGATCCAGATGAAACTGACGGTAGCAGATATAAAACAAAGTTTCATTCTAGCTATTACTGACTTGATTTGAGTAATCTGGATAGAAATTATAATTCCCTTCCTATGTTAGTGTCTTTATTGGGAAAATACATGGCTTTGGATTAAAAACTTTCTCCATTTGTTCTTTCATTTTCATTCCAAACCAAAACCAAACTCACTGCCATTGAGTTGGATCTGACTTATAGTGACTCCTCCTTGGGTTTCCGAGGCAGTATCACTACGAAAGTAGACTGCCTCATCTTCCTTCCAAGGAGTGGCTGGTGGGTTTGAACCGCCAGCCTTCTGGTTAGCAGTCAAATGTCTTAGGCACTACCCCACCAGAGCTCCCTCATTTTCATTATTGGTTGCCTAAAGTGATCTAGGGAGCTCTGGTAGCGTAGTGCCTAAGGCACTTGACTGCCAACCAGAAGGCTGCTAACCAGCCACTCTTTGGAAGGAAGGTTGGGCAATCTACTTCCGTAGTGATACTGCCTCGGAAACCCAAGGAGGGGTCGCTGTGAGTTGGGTCCGACTCGATGGCACATAACAACAACAAAGTGATCTAGGGTCTGTGAAGGCATTCAGTTACTAGCTGTTTAAGTTTGGGTAGCCTGACTTAACATCTTTTAAGCTCTATTTTTTCACTTGCATAACAGAATTAATACTAACTATCACAAAGAATTGTTATGAAGATTAAATGATATAGCACATGTTCTCTTAGCTTGTTTGTCTGTCTTCCTCAGATAAAGAAAAGGCTTTGAAAAATAAACTCAGTGAGTCACTGGGCCTGTAGGGTAAGGATCATGTTTGCAGAGGACAGCAAGCTCAATTAGCACAACGTAGTATATAAAAATATTGTTCTACATCTTACTTTGATTAGTAGCAACTGGGGCCTTAAAAGCTTGCAAATATCTATCTAATTTGTCTATCTATTTGTCTTTCCTCATCTGGAGCAAAGAAGAGGAAAGAAAATAAAAATGCATGGAAACAGTCCAAAGGAGTAATGGACCATGAGAATCTCAGCCTATATGACCCTGAGACCAGAAGAGTTAGATGGTGCTAGCTACCAGTGCCAACCACTCAGAAAGAGATCAAAATGGCAGATTCTAGATAGAGTGGGAGAAAAATGTGAAACAAAATTAAACATCATAAAAAAGACCAGGTTTACTTGTCTGATAGAGACTGGGGAAACCCCCGAGACTATGGCCCCAAGTCACCCTTCAGGCTTGGAATTGAACTCACACCTGTGGCTTAACCTCAGTGAAAGGATAGGCCTACAAGCTGAACACCTACACAGGGAAATGTAGTCTTTAGAACAATCTACCACGGGAGATCAAAAGGGTATCATTTGCATAGAGAGAAAGGTATGGAGGCAGGAATACAGAGGTAAGAAAGGCAAGGGGAAAGGGTAACCACAGGGTAAAGGAAAAAAACAAAACACAACTCAAATTCCCCTCTAAATTACCAAGTCTCACAATGGCACATGTAGACCACCAGGGGGAGGAGAGAACAAGAGATTCAACTGAGAACAATCCACTAACCAAGAACCCACTGTCATCATTCAAACTCATAGCAACCTGACAGGACAAAGTAGAACTCCCCCATAGGGTTTCCAAGGCTGTAAATCTTTATAGAAGCAGATTGCCACATTTTTCTCTCACGGAGTGACTGTTTAGCAGCTGAATGCTTTAACTGCACCACTAGAGCTCATTCAGAGAACAGTAGGTTGCTGTAAACCCATGCAAAGACACTGGCAATATAATTCCCTTTTATTTCTTAAACATTCTCTAGCCTATTACCTCCTCCTACTTATATTAAAAGTAATCCTGGTGGCACAGTGTCTAAGAGCCTGGCTGCTAACCAAAAAGCCAGTAGCTGGAACCCATCAGCCACTGCACAGGAGAAAGATGTGGCAATATACTTTCATAAACATTTACAGCCTTGGAAACCCTACGAGGCAGTTCTATTCTGCCCTTCAGGATCTCTGTGAGTTGGAATCGACTGGGCAACAATGGGTTACTTATGTCAAAAGAGTCCCTGAGTGGTGTAGTTAACATGCACAGCTGCTAATCAAAAAGTTAGCCTAGTCCCTGCACCCCCCACCTGGCACCCCCCCCAGAGATGCCTTGGAACAAAAACCTGATGATATCTTCCAAAAAATCAGCCATCAAATACCCCATGGAGCACAATTCTACTCTGACGTACATGGGGTTGCCCTAAGTCAGAATCGCTGAAGGGCAACTGGTAACTGGTAGTAAATATGCCACATGAAGACCTCAATATTCTCAATATCACTCAGTGACTGTGATGCTACACAAAGGGCCTCAGCTGTCCTATTAAAGTAAAACCCCTTTAACCTCAAATTCAATACTCAAGAATTTGTCTAGAGTTGTTTGGAAATTTACCTAAATTCCTCATATGTTAAAGGGGTGACTGTGGAGTTTTGTTTTGTTTTTTCCTGAGTGTTCTGGGCTTTAAGTATGAGGTTGCTATCAATACTGATGCCATAATTACTTAGTCTAGGAACTACAGCAGGTCTACACTTGGTTATTGGTCAAAAGGTGCAGAACTCTCACCTAAATGTAATCCAAACAATTAGAAAGTTCACATCTATGATTTAAGAAAAAAAGGATAAGTATATAAGTTCACATCAGGAATTTATTTTTAAAGTGACAGCTTTGGAGTGTGTCATGAAATCCATGTCATTTTATCCCCCATCCTCTTGATGCTCTTCAAACACACTTTTCTTAAAAAGTTGTCAAGTTGATTCTGACTTGTGGCAATCCCATTTGTGCCAGAATACAACTGTATTCCATACAGTTTCAATGGCTGATTTTTCAGAAGCAGATCACCAGGCCTTTCTTCTGCAGCACCTCTGGGTGGATGTTAACATCCAACATTTCAGTTAGCAGCCAACAGTTAACTGTTTGCACACACAGGGACTCCTTAAGTTGACTCAAATATGTGCCTCTACAGCAACACATAATGATCAGAATGTTGGAGCTGCAGCAGCAGAAAGCTTTGGAGTCACAGTAATCACAAAAGAAAAATTAAATTATATTTAAAATATATTTTGTGTTAAATATATGTCATTTTATTTTAACTCTCTGAAAACTGGTAATCCACGCATGGTATATAACTTCAGAAAGCAAAGCCAGAAACACCATTCCTTAACTATTTTGCCCAAATGGCAGTTTATTGTCCTTAAAAATAATAAAATAACATTTCTTTTAAAATATGCCAAAAGTGGAACTTTTTCCTGAATCACACTAGCGTATCCTCATAGTTCACATTAGTGAGTTTTTATCATATTATTCACAGGCCCTGTGAGGTGATCTGGTGTTATTAATGAACCTTGTACCTGTATCTCTCTTAAGACATTTGATAGCTTAAAACACTTGGGGTTTAAGAGTGGTTAGTGTTTTCATCTAAGATACTCATTTTTTACTTTATGTTCACCTAAGCCTGGGACCTATACTAGTAATAAATCTTACATTGTGAATTGCAAATGTTTCATTTGAAAAGAGATACCCATATATTTTTTATGAACAATTTTTATCTCCCTAGAAACCTATTAAATTTCATAATTCTTAAGTTTATTTAATTTATACCCAAAGCAAACCAGATCCACTGTCATTGAGTCGATTCCAACTAATAGGGATCCTTTAGGACAGAGTAGAACTGCTCTATAGACTTTCCAAGGCTGTAAAGCTTTACAGAACAGACTACCTCATTTTCTCCCAAGGAGAAGGTGGTGGGTTCAAACTACCATTTTTGGTTAGCAGCCAAATACTTTAACCACTATGCCACCAGAACTCCTTCCTATTTAATTTATAGAATACTTAAATTTTATTTCCACGCTCACTGATGTAAGTTTAACCCTAAGATACAGTGAATTAGAAAGGACTAAATAGATGGAGTTGTTAGCAGTTCAATGCCTTAGGCACTACGCCACCAGAGCTCCCAAATAGATGGAGTTCCTGGGTGGTACAAATGGGTTAAGCATTTGACTACTAGCTGAAAGTTAGTTCTTTGAACCCACTCAAAGGCACCTCAGAAGACAGGCTTGGCTATCTTACTTCCTAAAGGCTGCTGTCTTAAAAATCCTTATGGAGTCTTAAAAATCTGCTTTGCACACATATGCACATCACAATGACTTAACGTCTGCTAAGGAGCTCTGGTAGCATAGTGCCTAAGGCACTTGACTGCTAACGAGAAGGCTGGCAGTTCAAACCCACCAGCCACTCCTTGGAAGGAAAATGGGGCAATCTACTTCTGTAAAGATACTGTCTCGGAAACCCAAGGAGGGGTCACTTGAGTCCGGTCCAACTCGATGGCACATAACAACAACAGATAGACGGATCCCTCTTAATCAGGCATCGTCTGTTTAGCAATTTACAAAAGGTAAGAGGAAATAGCTCTTCTTTTGAAAGCAAGCAGCAATCATTATTAAAACCAGAATGCTTGAATATCATGTAAACAATCAGATTAAAAACAGGCAAAATTGATAATTATAATTCCACTGTGACCACAGTCAGTTCTTTTTCTTTTAAATCATTCACTCATATGCTATAGAACAATGAATGTATAGCTTACATTCCAAGTGTTGTTTGTTGTAACCTTGTATTTCATTTCACAAGAACCCTTTTCAATGGCTGTTTGACTATTCCAGTGGATTATGGTCTTGGGCACTGTAGTATTTACATTTTCAGCCCTTGAAATGGTGGCAGCAGAAGGTATCACTAGGAGGCAAAAACAAAAAAGCAGTTTAAAACTTGTTAAAGAAAAAAATCTGTATTTTTTTCAACAATATATAGAGATGCTAAAAACCCTAAGAATATTTTTTTTTAAATCTCTCATTACCTAATTAACAGTTAATGATATTTTGTTTTGTTTTCTTATCTATCATGCAGGAGAACACTACTGTTAAGTAAAATCCTATTCAGCCCATATTCCATATCTTTTAAACTGAACTCTAGTAATCTTATTCTCCATCACCTAACCCCAATAATCCTAACTAACAAAATTTCAGAGCTTACTCTTATTAACAAAAGAATCTAAAAAAAGGGGGCTAAGGGAGATATCCATTCTTCCTTGTATAGCTGGACAAAGACATGCTGGTTTGGGTTCTAAATTTAATTCAAAGAATCTGATTTGATAAGATATTAAATTGAAATAATAACAGTATTATTATGTCAATTTCACAATAATATACTTGTGTTCTTGCGTGATAGTTGGAAACTCATGAATACTTACATTATTTGCTAATTTACTTTGTTTTCCATTAAAATGAATCTGTCCTTGAAAGTACAATTTGAACAAAGTGGGTCTCATAAGAGAGCTCTGGTGGCATAGTACCTAAGGCATTTAACAGCTAACCAGAAGGCTGGTGGTTCAAACCCACCAACCACTCCTTGGAAGGAAGGTTGGACAATCTACTTCCATAGTGATGCCGCCTTGGAAACCCAAGAAGAGAGGGGTTGCTATGAGTCAGATCCAACTTGATGGTAGTGAGTTTGGTTTTCGGTTTGGGGTCTCATAAGACTCTGACTTACAAATTGTTCCCATATTGTATGATAATAACTTTCAAAAGGTAACTGAAATTCTGATTTGTTACCCTATTTGCTAGCTTGTTGTATTAGGAATAAGGTTAGAATAGGCATCTCTGTATTTCATATATATGTATGAAGATCAATATCCTAGGCATTGGTGAGTTGAAATGTACTGGTATTGGCCATTTTCAATGTCCAAGCTGACTGAAGGCATTGGGAAAAAAACAAAGCTCTAGGAAGTGACGAAATACCAATTGAGATGTTTCAAAAAACAAATAGATACACTCATCTACGCAAAGAAATTTGGAAGATAGCTACCTGGCCAACCAATGGGAAGAGACTCATATATGTGCCTATTCCAAAGAAAGGTGATCCAGTGGAAGTAGAAATTATTGAATAATATCATTAATATCACAAAGAAGTAAAATTATCCTGAAAATAATTCAAAAACAGTTGCAGCAGTACATTGACAGGGAACTGCCAGAAATTGAAGCCAGATTCAAAAGAGGGTGTGGAATGAGAGACACTATTGCTGATGTCAGATGGATCTTGGCTGAAAGCAGAAAATATCAGAAAGATGTTTACCTGTATTTTATTGATTATGCAAAGATATTCAACTGTATGGGTCATAACAAATTATGGATAACATTATGAAGAATAGAATTCCAGAACACTTAATTGTGCTCATGAAGAAACTGTACATGGACCAAGAGCCAGTTGTTAAAACAGAACAAGGGGATAGGCATTGTTTAATATCAAGAAAGGTATGCAGCAAGGTTGTACCACTTCACCATACTTATTCAATCTCTCTGCTTAGCAAATAATCTTAGAAGCTGGACTATATGAAGAACTTTGCATCAGGGTTGAAGGAAGACTCATTTAACAACACGTGATATGCAGATGACATAGCCTTGCTTGCTGAAAGTGAAGACTTGAAGCACTTACTGATGAAGATCAAGGATTACAGCCTTCAGTATGGATTTCACCTCCATATAAAGAAAACAAAAATCCTCACAAGTGGACTTATAAGCAACATCATGATAAATGGAGAGAAGATTAAAAATTGTGAAGCAATTTCATTTTACTTGGATCCACAATTAACACCCATGGAAGTAGCAGTCAAGAAGTTAAACAATGTATTGCATTGACTAAATCTGCTGCACAAGACTTATTTATAGTATTAAAGAACAAAGATGTCACTTTGAGGATGAAGGTGCCTCTGACCCAAGCCATCGTATTTTCAATTGCCTTATACGCATGCAAAAGCTAGATAATGAATAAGGAAGAACAAAGAATTGATGCCTTTGAATTATGGTGTTGGCAAAGAATGTTGTATATACCAAGGACTACAAGAAGAATGAATAAGTCTGCCTTGGAAGAAGTACAGTGAGAATGCTCCTTAGAAGTGAATATGGTGAAATTTCATCTTACTTACTTGGACAGGGAGCTCTGGTGATGTAGTGCCTGAGGCATTTGACTGCTAACCAGAAGGCTGGAGGTTCAAACACACCGGCCACTCCTTGGAAGGAAGACTGAGCAATCCACTTCCGTAGAGATACTACCTCAGAAACCCAAGAAGGGGTTGCTATGAGTAGGAACTGACTTGACAGCAGTGAGTTACTTGAACAAATCCCTGGGGAAGGAGACCATGCTTGGTAAAGTAGAAGGTCAGCAAAAAAGAGGAAGGACCACTTAAGCACCTTCAAGGTAATAAATTACCACCCTCTCTAGGCACTTGACTGCTAACAAGAAGGCTGGCGGTTCAAACCCACCAGCCACTCCTCGGAAGGAAGGTTGGGCAATCTACTTCCATAGTGATACTGCCTCAGAAACCCAAGGAGGGGTCGCTTTGAGTCGGGTCCGACTCGACGGCACATTACAACAACAACCACCTTTCCCAAGGAACCCTGATGGTGCAACAGTTAAGTGTTTGGCATCTAACTGAAAGGTCAGTGGTTCAAAGCCATCCAACCATTTGGTGGGAGACAACTTAGCGATCTGCTTCCATAAAGATTACAGCCTAGAAAACTCTATGGGACAGTTCTACTCTGTCACATGGGGTCACTATGAGTCAAAATTGAGTCGACCGCACCTAAAATCAATTACCTCTCCCCTTTCTGCGTTTGGCCTGGCCACGGAGATGGCAGCAAAAGCATTCTTTTGCAGAATTATTCTGGGGAGGAAGCAGAAACCTGAGAAATGTCTGAGAAATGCAGGCAACACATTAAGTCAGGTTTAACACAGGCTCTCAATACACAGTAGGTCAGCAGTGTAGAGAGCTAGACTTTTAATTTTGAATGCACTAGTACTTTTTTAAATAAAAATGTCACATAGTATACACTTGAATCTACAGTTTGTTACACAAGGCTCAGATGCTGAATTTTTGTACCAGATGTTGAATTTTTTATTATTTTTCCGTCACTAAACCTGTTCCCTTTCACCACCTTCACTAGATCTAATACTATATCTTCTCCTTAGTTGCTCATAACTCCAGTATCATTATTTGCAAATGCTTTACCTAGTTACTCAGAAACTCAGTTGGTAGAGGGACTGAGTGAGCAGACTATCAGTACAACACCATCTTTCTTCAAATCTTGAATTTTTGTACTCATTGCTTAGATTTCAAACATTCCCACTAGATCTTACATATTTAAAAAATCTATCAAATTCTTCATAGATGCAATAGTTTAAGTTCACACTTGCACTGAAATAAAGAATCAAATCAAAATTGTTTTGTTATCTTTTCAACAACATATATTTACCTACATTTATATAATGAGAGAATTAATGTTAAAAATGATATCAAAAGGCATTGCAATTTCTGTATTGAAATTTATTTCTCTTCAAAAGAAGTGACCAGCATTCCTCTCACATGTCATTCTGGCAGTATTACTGTACTTCTAACTCCACCCTGCCTTTCAGCACTGACCTCCTGACTTAAAGCCTGATCCTGTAGCGATTATGTGGAAATTGCTCCCAGAAAAGTCCTTTGTCCTCAGTTTCATAGAACAGTTCATTTATTTAACTTTCTATAGCTAATTCTTAAAGTGTCTCAAATAAAAACAACCCATCCATTCACTGATAATCTGGTGGTTGTTGACCAGAGCCTCCTAAGGAGTCCACCTATGTTTTCAATCTGAGTTTCTAAGAGTCAATTTTGGAATAATGAGATAGAATAGAAAAGAGAAGAGGAGAAAAGAGGAGAAGAGAGGGGATGAAAGATGAGGAGGGGACGGGAGGAGAAGGCAGGGGAGGGGAAGGAAGAGAAGGTGTGGTAGTTAAGATTATGTGTCAACTTGGCTGGGCTGTGGTTTTGAGTGGCTGGACAGCTGGATGTAGTTATTCCCCATGATGATATTGTAATCACCTCCATGGTGGAATCTGCTGCTAAGTAGTTGCCTTTGGGGTGAGGCTTGCTTCTAGTATATAAAGAGAAGCTTTGAGAATGGTCTCTAGATTTTGGCTCATCTAGACTCTGTCTTTGGCTGAGTCTTGGCCTGCCATGTTGCCTGGCAATTTTGGGATTGTGCCACATTACCTGCCGACCTTGGGTTTGTCAGCCTTAGCAATCAGCAGCTGCATGAGTCAGAAAAAGCTCCAGCTCCAGTGGGCCTGGAATGGGAGACAGAGCTGAAACTCAATGTCAAGGGGCCTTCACCTAGCCCCTAGACCTGGCACTTTAAACTTGGACTTCTAGCCTCCTAAACTGTAAGAGAATAAATTCCTGTTTGTTAAAGCCATCCACTTGTGGTATTGTAGCAGCACTAGAGAACCAAGACAGAGGGGAAGGAATAATTCTGAACAAAAACACTCCCTGGTTTACTGTGTGAAAGGTCAGATTTGGAGGATGTGGCCAGGTGAAACTTTTCCTTTGTGGGAAGTGGCACACCACTGGTTCTTGGACTCACCAAGTATGGGCTGAAATCTGGGTCTCTTCTTTACTAGCTATGTGACCTGAATAAAGTATTTTATCTCTTTGAGCTTCAGTTACTTGTATTTTCAGTTTTCTCATCTGTAAAATGGGGACTGTAGTACCATGTATTTTAGTTTTCAGAATGTGATGTTTATGTTAAATGTCTGGCACACAGTAGGTGTGGAGGCAGGCAATGATAATAAAAAGATGATGACAATAAAGTTTTAGTTCTTAAAAGGACATTGCCTGAAGACTTCTGGTAAGATGGTGGAATAGG